TTTTATCATTTTTTTTTTTTTTTTTTTTTTTTTTTTTTTATAATAAAGCGAACAGTTGAGTACAAAAAATATTATAACATTATTCGTGTAAATTGTTATTAACATATTTTGTACGAGTCTGTAAAATCTGTTCTGCTTTATTAATTTTACGTTTTTTTTTTTTTTTTTTTTTTTTTTTTTTTGTTATATTAAACGCAATATTTTATCAACGTAAATAATAATATCAATTTGTCCCGTTATAAAAAATATGCCGCCATTATCCGTTGCAGTTTTCTACGATATAAAAAATGTTTTAGTATTATTATTTTTTTTTTTTTTTTTGCACATATTGTATAAGCGTGCTGTCATATCTACATTGTCTACGTCTTATAAATCAATATTTAGTGTGGTTAGGATATTTATCTGGTTGAATTTTACTGTATATTATAGAACAAATACGACTTCGTTTGAAATTAATAAAATAATACTTTTCCAAGTTCCTTTTTATTAGATATTATATGACATGGAATTAGACGCCTACGCATTTCAACTCTTTTCATATATTCGTAATAATCCGAGGAAGACGAATAATTAATAACAGGTACGTAGGAATTTATGCAGATTTGTTCGACGTCGTCTGTTTTTATATATATATATATATATAACGAAACACAGTACCGTTTTATTAATAATTATACTAAAAAGACGAACTACAACATTAATCACACTGTATAGGTTTATAGAAAATGTTATTAAATTTGTCATCTCCGACGTTTGAATGTAATATTATTACGTAACAATAAAACGAAAAATATCCGAACATAATTCGCACCGAGGGTAGGCCACTGTTGTAAATGGCTTGTTTAGGTCATAGTGTAATAGTTATTTTACAAACCGAAGTCGACGACGAATAATTGCAATCGAAAAACGATGCTGGACGGAACTCGGTAAACTGATAAGGTCACACGGTATTAGTTGCGTTATTTTCTATTTTATAGTCTAACAATAATCAACAAAAATAAAACTTATACTTATCAACAATAACTGTGAATTTTTTAGTTAAAAAATCAAAAACCATGAGGAATGAATAAACAATGTTCAAATTATATACAATCTGCGTTTGAAAATATCCGCATCTCTTTGAAGTACGGTGTGATACAATATGGAGGATTTTTATGTTAACCGAAAAAGGTGTTTCCAAGAAAATACATTCTAGTACAGCTAGTAACTCATCATACTCTGAACTATGCGTTCATTAAGAATAATACTAAATTAGTTGTTTGGCACGTATGATCTACCTAGTATTATTAGTTTTTCCCCTGTAGAAAACGTCTTTAAAAAAAAAAAACCCCAGTAAATAGATCGGAATTTGAGTAGATGAAGTTTTATTTAGAAACATAATTTTATTTTCTTTAACTGCTATAAAATTACGAATAACCGTCACCGTAAATGTTCAATTTCGTTCAATAATGTTCAACCGTTATCGCTAAAACTCGCACAGGCGTTACGGGGACCTACCGGACCGGGCACGTATCACTTACATTCCGCTTTCCCGTAAGATTGCATCGGGGTATAGCCGTACTCACTATATCGACCATTAAATCGTTACCGTCGTACCTAAATTTACATGTAAAAATGGCATATAGTCCTGTTACATTCTCTATAGAATTTATATTAGTCACAACAGCATCAAACAAATCACGTTACATATATTTCGGTACATAATTTTTGGTAATTTCAAAACTATAGTAATTTCAGCACTGTAGTATATTACTGTATAGTTTTATTACATGTGTTTTATTAAAATAATAATATCAATTGATTGATGTGAGAATATTTGTTTTGTTATCAATTTATCTTTATGTTATTATATTATTTCCCCCCCCTGGAACGAATTTCACTCAAAGAAAACACAGAAGTAGTTCTTAAAGGATATAGTAATAGAGTTAAAAAATGAATTCGAGAAAGCTGTTTTTTTAAGATGTTGGTTCTTTATGAGATTGATAACAATTTCGTGTCGTTTGTGACAATAATATGAAAAAATGAACGATAGTAACGCGCTGCTGCCGGAACGTCGTCGAATAATAAAGCGAATATATTTTTTTTAAATATGTCTACGAATCAATAATATTGTTATTATATTATGTTATTGAATTTATTCGAAGGCGTACAAGGCGAATGCGTTTGAATGGGTTTTTTTTTCTTTTAGTCGTTCGTTCGTTACTGTCGGGGTATTTACTTTAAGTAGATTTTTACACAATAACTTCCATCGCCGGTGATCTTTTATTTTTAACGAAGAAAATCAAGGGACATAACCAATCCATGTACGCGATTTTTTTTGTCGAATTGTCCATAGAAGTATATAAAAATTAAATTATGTCTGTATATCATTTTCTCGCGACTTTTAGATACACCACTCGATTTTCTCTAGACCAAACGATTTTAAGCTCGAAAATTACAGTCCTTTAAAAGGGAATTAAAGTGATAAAAATTAATTATATTTCAATATAAATTTCAGCGTATAATATCGGGAGGCAAGCAATTTTTGAGCTTTGAACACTCTTACAACCCACTCCTTAATGAATTAAGCTGAATGGCATTTTACATAATATGGTATGCATGACGTTAGTATCAAGGTTCAAAGATGTGTCTTCTGGAGTCTTAATCCCTCAGACAATTTTTATGTTAATTTTTTTTTTAATATAGTAAACTTTACTGTGGTAATTTAAAAATTTTGTATTATCTTTATACTAAAAAAAAAAAACCGCTTTCGTGAATTTTTATCAATAATCGAACGACGAATTGTCAGGAACAGAGCAAGAAACGTTACCGGCGTTTTTCAGGAACAGGCCCATTACTAAATTATAATACTATAAACCAGTTTAATGAGATTGGCTTATAAGAAACGTTTTTTTAATGCAATGATTTATCATCACTCTTGGTATAAAAAAATTAAAAACTACGAATAAATTATCCCATATTATTATCGTCTGTACTATATTTCCTAATTCGCACATACTACAGTGACCTACACACGGTGCGAAATTTATACGACTATTTATTAATTTCAAAAATATTTTTTATTATCGCCCTAATCTCTATAACAAAGTATTATTATAATATTTATTTACTTTACACTTTATTTTTTTACGAGTATTAACCATTTTAATAATTGTGTTTTTCCTTTAATATTTTATTATAATATTAGCTTAATAATTTATAAAATGTATGATATTGCGCGCGCGTGTTTTTGATGTATTGTTGTTCTTACGTCCGAATATTTTATTAATATTAAAAAAAAAAAAAAAAAAACTAATAAAATTCGTGTCTTGTTTAGTATTGTATACATTTAATTAGACTTAATTAGAAAATAAATATTTCAGCTCCGAGTTGCGTAAGTATAATTATTGTATTTTGCGGTGTCGGTATGTAATATATTTTTTTTCTGTTCTCCCCACTATATAATTTAATATTCTTTATGAATAATTAAATATTTTTATTTTTCACAATACCTACAGTATACACCTAGGTGCTCGAATCGTGATTAAAGTTAATATTTTTTTTAAATAATTACCGTAATCATCGCCACAGAATTACGGAAATTATGTCATACCGGCGCGCACGCACCTTATATCAACATAAAAAAAAAACCTCATTGTACCTGAATTATGTAAAATTGTATACATGCGCACGATATGCATCACATTTTTAAAAGAAAATAATTTTTTGGGCAGGTACCTACACTGTACCTAGTTTTCTATCTACGTTATTATTATAGTGTTATTTCAAATTTATTCAACTATTTTTTTTTTTATTATTATTTATGGTTTTAAACAAACATGCGAACGGCAAAAAAAACAACGCATATTGTCCGTGTTAGATACCTATTTTACTGTATTTTTGATTCACAATAACAAAATGTAAACTATTATTATCCTGATGCTGACTATATTATTGGTCTCCTGAATGTGTATTATTAATCTCAGGATACTAGAGAAGAAGCGCGTATATCGTGTTCTCATTGGTTCAATACCAGATTTCTGCATTGGCTGGTTTTAAATAATGCACCTTAAAATTTAATCACATCGTGTTAACGTTATAGTAAGTAGTAAAATAAAGTTGTTTTTTCTTGGTGCCTTCAATCATCTTTATTCGTTAATTTCACGATCATGAGATCATGAACTTTATCAGAACTTTGTCAGAATTTTATCGATAACAAACTCTTAATTTATTATGTAAAACCACGTCGGATACGTCATATGGGGAAGAAATCGAAAAAAAAAACCAAGTTAATCTACTGAATCACTAACAACGTATGATAAAATATATCAATTTAAAGTAGTGAAAGTACTCTCACACGCGCATACACTGCGTATATAACCAATAAGAACGTGGCGTAAAATGATATAAAAATTCTGACCAAGTGGTATAAATACTACTACGTAATTTTGAAGGAGTGAAAGGATTACCCTTATCACAATTTATCCAATAACATATTCAATCCAATAAATTTTGGTAGGTAGTAGGAAAGTTGAATGTATATCTGAACGCAACGATTAAGCGTTGCTAACGAAAAAAGATTCTGAGTGAAGTTTGGTGAATAATGTTACTTTGTTAATAATATATTAAATGATATATTATGGTAAAATAATTAAATATGCATTATACTCTTTAATAATAATATTGTTTAATATTGTATCTACTTTTCTTTTTTCCCGGTTTTTACAATATAAATTATTCCACAACCAAATGTTCCCCTTCAATATACTCTCCTCCCCTCTTCACAAACCGTTTCATTTGTTTCTTCCATTGCTCGAGGCAGTGCTGGAAGTCTGTTTTCATAAGACCATTCAGGAGTTCCACCGATTTTTGTTTCACTTCTTCCATCGACTCAAACCGGATTCCTTTAAAAAGTAAAAGTCGCAGGGTGCCAAGTCGGGTGAGTAAGACGCGTGTTCGAGTATTGGAGTGCCTTAAGCGGCCAAATAACACTTCACAAACAGCGCGTTATGGGCAGGTGCGTTATCCTAGTGCAAGATCCACGACTTGTTTTTCCACAATATCGACCGTTTCTTACGAACTCATTCGCGCAATGTTGCCAAAACTGTCAAATAGTAATGTTGGTTCACAGTTTGACCCTCTGGAACCCATTCAGTCATCACGATGCCGTTGATATCGAAGAAAACGATCAGCATGGTTTTGAATTTGGATTACGACTGAATTGGATTCCGGTGCACTCTCGACCTTCGGAAAATAATTTATGCCACTCAAAAACACGCGCCCGAGATAGGAAATCCTCACTATAGGCCTCTTTTAACAACTTATAGCACTCAGTTGGAGTTTTTTTTAGTTAAACGAGAAAATTTTACGTTTATCCGTTACTCATGTTTTTCATCACACATCGTTTTCGGCAAGAGAAAAAAACATGTTCGTTTCTAAACGCTACAGAAAAAATACTAATGCACCGACAAAAACCCAATTTTGTACTGGTATAATAGATACTTCCAGCTAACCAGCGCTGTATTCGGTTTTCCCCTAACCTTTTTGGGATGTTCTCTGCGCGCGTAGTCTCGTTGTTTAATAGCCAAACCTCGTAGTATTTTAAGATAAAATTTTTAATTCAATTTCTGTGTTCAATAACACCAAATGTTTGTTATTTTATTTATTTATATCGTTTTACGTTATTTCCTCTCTTGGAAAATATCGCTTAAATTTCCTGATGTCAACAATATTTTCGACTTCTTTGTTGTTTAATACTAATTTTGTTTTATAATTTTAAAAGGCCCTTTTTATTTAGGTTTTAGTTTTGGGAAGTTTTCTAACTTTAAAAATGAAAACGTAATCATTACTAAGTCATTTGCTTTAAAATCTATAGGTTTGTGTAATTTATCGTAATATTTATTTTGGATTAATAGAGCTTTTTAAATCTTGTGTGATATTTTATCTCATATATTATTTAGTTCTATTAGAGCTAGTTTCAAATTGTATGGTAAATCATCAGGAATTATTTTAACCATTTCGATTGGTCGCCTTTTTCTAAATAATTTCTCAATGAACTACATTTGAGTTGTTAAAATGAATTACTACCCACAATACGATGAATAAATTTATTTTATGAATAAACTTTCTAAAGCTCGGTTCACGCAATCAAATATTTTAACAAATATTTGTCTAACGGCAAACTTTGAAAATTTGTTTGGAAAATGGTTCAAACGATTAAATATTTAATCAAATTATTCATAACTAAAACTTTGTAGTGATTGGTCAAATATAACCCGCAAAAAAACGTAATTTGTACAATAATTATCATAGATAGTAGGTATACACGAATTAAGATATTTTAATCCGTGGTACTAATTAATTTGTTTATTCATACATTAGAGCTACAAAATGAATTACAGCTGTGAAAAATTAGTAAAATTATATAAATTATGGAAACTAATGAAATTGTTCAAAAATAAAATCTCAAGGTTAGAAAATACGTATATATACCTTAGTATCTACTTTAACTTTCCATGTAGTATGCTATCTATTAGTATTTCGTAAGTATAGATTCGAAGCGTGTGTATATTTTACAAATAAAGGCATTTCTTTGTAATTTTGAATACGTGTTCATCGCACTTTCGCAGAGAGACGACACAATTATAAAATTATGAATAATTTATTAATACTGTTGTGATTATTTAAAACGGGTTTTATTGAACTAAAAATTATAAAAAATGTTTAGAGTGAGTACGAAAATGAAAATTTCTATACGTGGTCTGTCCCCTTCAACGAATGCCTGTAACATATAATACTACAATAGTTTTATAAAAAAATGAATAGTTTACGTAAATTCGCCGTGGACGTATCTAATATATTATTATAACATAGTTAATGTTATTCTCAATATATTATTTTATCGAATCAATCTGACAAAATAATATACATACAATGCTCGTGTAGACTAATCAGATCACATTCTGATACACGAGGCTGAAAATAAAATACATAAGTAAAAGAGAAAAACTACACGTTACAATACGTATCGTTCTATAATAGGACGTGTAGTGAACGCATACGATTTAGTAGTACGCACCTATATAACTATACGATATAACGCAAAAATGAATATTACTCAACAAATAGCTCTTTTATAGAATGTTTTGAAAATTTTACCACATCTAGAAAAAGCCTATCCTATGGAAGTGTCAGATCTCTATCATATTATTTAACCTAATTTTAATACAAAATCGAAAACAGTATAACCACTAATGCCGTTAACATTCTTGTTTTTCCTACGTGTTTTTTACTGGCTATCCCCAATAATTCAGTAAACTAAACAATAAAAATATCAGAATACAACTTTTTTTACACAAAATTTAGACATTTTTTTCTTCAAAAAAGTTGCTTTTTTGAGATTCAGAGCAAGATCTATGTTAGAAAACAAAAATCAAAACAATTTAAAAGAATAATGAAATTGTTAACGCCACAAGGTTATGTTGGATATTTGTTCGTTTTCCTTAAACTTTTTGCGGGGTTTTTTCTATTATTATGAAAACCACTGAGAAAATCTAAAAAGCGAAACCTCCTCAATGCACCAACCAAATCCAAAATTCATCAAAAAGGTTTTTTTGTGTGATTTTTCGATCGAAGCAAGATTTCTGGTGGAAAAGTTGGTCACAGTCACACACAACGCCGATAGACGTATTCAGGTAATTATAATAATTAATTTCTAATTATATTGTTGACGAGAGATGTATAATTCAACTACGCAATACGAAAGCGTACGTGACAGGTGAACCGCTTGGTGACCCCATGCAATGGCGGCGGTACTTTTACACGTTACTTGTATTATGTATTACGTAAGCAAAACTCGAACGGATAGTGTCTTTCTAGATCTTTTTTATTATTATTATTATTATTATTTTTGTCCGGTGCAAATGGAATATCAATACAATTAACATTATTATATTTTATCTTCCCACCGGTTACACCTACGAGAAACGTACGAAGAGTGTAACAGTGATACACGAATTACCTCGTTAATCAATCTCGCATGCTACGCCAATGATATATATAATATTTAGATATACAATTATACGAAAATAATGATAAAAGGCTAAAAGTGAGAAAACCGACGGGATTCTGTGTATGGTTTAATATTTATATATGTACATCACGATCACTTTAATTATTGGTATGTCGTGGCAAATTTTGTGTTTCACAATAATATAATAATATACTAGCCGTACGGATCGGCGTTGCCCGAACTATTGTACACGTATTGCGCGAGTTGAAATTTGAAATTTTTTTTTTATTTGCGTAAAAAACTTTTCTACCAGGATCCTTGCTCTTCAGTGTAGAAAGCATAATGCAGAAGTATAGCACCTCTTTTCTGAAAGGTAATTTTCTCTCGCCGATGCATTGGAGAGGTAATTTTTTGACTTTTCAAGGCGTTTGTTTTTATTGCTTTAATTGTGTTCAACTTATGTTTTCCAGAAATATCACTTCAATCGAAAAATGACAAGAGATCGATTTTTTTTTATTTAGATACAAATGTAATCGTGACGAATAAATTAGCGAGCGTTTTTTTTTTTTAGTTTTATTATGGGTCGGTCAAAACTTTTGCGCTCTCCTCTCAAAAATAGAATTTAAGCCACTGAATAATAGCATACCCATTAGTTGTATCAGTTTTTTTGTTTTTGTATTTTAATATCGCAGTTGTGTTTTTGTCAAAATTTTTTTTTTTATTATATAAAGTCTTCAATACCACGGCTATACAATATATGTTACGACTTGATAACTAGGGTATTAGATTTGTACAGTGTTAGAAATTATTTATAAGTTTGGATTTTGTTAAAATTCCACATTTTTGTTTCGGTGGTATAGAGAGACTGCTACATATCGCCCGGTTAGGTTGACGCAATCTTGAAAAATGTGATGGGCAGATAGGACAGCTTGTCACCTATCGCGTATGATCGAGGGTTTTTGCTGATATTTGTTAAATTTGTGTACAATTATTATGTCTTTGTTGTACCTGGAAAAAAATAACGAGAGATATTGTCGAGACTTTTGAATCTATTTGGTGCGTTGAGTGGGTTATTTCTTTGATTTTTTAAGTAATAATAATTGAGAAAATCCGAAAAACGTAAAGCAGGCAAATTTATCGAAATAAAAGTCTCATTATTTTCAAAATTTTCGATTTTGTTTATCTGCCAAAAATCTTTTTCCAAATGTCAAAAAAAAAAAGGTTTTTGAATTATAAATAGTTTTATGTTTTTTTTAATTTATTATTTTATCGTTTTTTCTTTTCTTATTTTTTTTATTAAAATATACCGTTAACTGTTTTCTATTTCAATCGCTTTATGACAAGTACCTATAACGTTAAAAAAATATTGCAAGTCCAGTGTATTTATTGGTTTTTTTAGTGACAAGGATGGTTGAATAGTTAATAGCTATTGAACTAAACATATTTTAATAGTATGCAATTTATGTTATTTCTAATATTTTATAAATATCTATATGAAACCCTATAGTGGTTGGAAACCTATCTAATTGAATAATGTGGTTTTTCAAATAAATAGGTCAACACTTATTCTGTAAGTATACTTATGTAGGTATTCGTATTGTTTGAAGCATGCTTACCATCAAAAAATTGGTATTTCGATTTTTGAAAGCTATAATTTATACCATTTCAGATAGTTTTTTTTTTTTTTTTTTGGTGTGAATATTTATTCTATCTTTTCAACTTCCTATGTAAACAATAGCACACCTATAAGCAGCACCGTCACTTTTTTCGCGGCGAAAAAAAAATATGATAAGACTGTTAATCAACGGCGAAAATTAGTTATAATATAATCAAATTTGTACAGTCGAGTAAATTTGTATAAAACGAACGCTGTAAAATATCGTAAATATTGCAGAATATTAATATATATTATATTGTTATAAAACGTAAGAAAATCGATTTCTCACGGATTCTATTACACTGTGAATTGAATTTAGTCGATTATGGGCGACCAAGGAAAATATAATATTGCTATTATTATTCCCGAAACATAACCCAGCAAGAGAACAGTAAAGTGTTTTTAAAATTTTAGTGAACGTTATTAAAATAGAACATTATTATTATTATTATTATTATTATTACAACTCAATCATCTCAGACGTCTTTTAAACGTCATTCACTGCATGGGTTTGTTCAGTGACCTTCGTATTGTTTTAAACCGATGCCGGACTTGACCCAACCGTTAACCGTAAAGAAAACATTTTAAATAATATACATTATGCGTGTATAATT